CAGCTTTTCTCCCAGGGCCACAGTTTTTGGAGGGCGTCAGACTGAGAAACGGCTCCAGGCAGTAGGAAGGCTGTTGAGCAAGCGTTTGGGAGCAGGCATGAGGGGCAGTTGCGGATGTGGCCTGTTCCTGCAACCACTTTTCCCGTGTCTTACAGCTCGAGTATTTTACGCCACGATCTCACCAGATTTCTTATGCTAAGCAGGGTTGGGGAAGTTTGACCCAGGGGTGGGAGGCCTCCACTAATACCTAGGAGCTGGGAGAAATAGTACTGATGGCTTAGGGGATTAAACTCTTTCCTCTGGGTTCCTGCTGAATGAAAGCCCAGCCACGCAGCGCAACCCCAACATCTTACTCAGCCTTGGTTGTTATCAATCTCATGGCACTTTCCAAACAGTTGCCTCTGGTGCGCTGGCCAAACGCCAGCTCTAGTCATTACGTTCTCCCTGCCTGTAATTCTCCAGGCTGCTCCAGATAGCTGTAATAGCATGTTTAAAGTTTTCTCGCCTACGTGATTGTATAAGTCATCTGTGAGCTGTTACGTCTCGGTGCAGGGGTGGCTGCATGTCAAGGGCAGGTGAAGTCATTTCTCTCTGGACTGGCGTGTTATTTTAAGGTCCTTTGGGACTGGACACCAGCGCCTAGATGCGCCCTCTCGGCAGTCCCTGGGCCCTGGAGTCCCCCCTCTGAGCGCTGGGATTGCAGCACAGGGTGCTTCGTGGCCTTGGGCAAGTGGTGGTGGCCTTATCTCTTTTTTGCTGTTGTTGCTTCCAACTGAGTTAATTAAAATATAAAAATGGATCCGTGGTGGGAGGGACGCCCCGGCCACGTCCCCAACTCTGTTTAACTGAGCACAGCCACTGCCCCCCCTTCGGTGGGTACAATCAGTGAGGCGCACGGCCCGGCGCGGATCGCCACGAGGCTTTACCTGTCGCGTATGACGTCGTCGCAGTTCAGGACCACGACGATCCCGGAGGCAGCAGCCATGACCGCTTGGACAGAGGACACCAGCCTGAAGGTGACAGATCAGGAGAAGGTCACGGCGGTGCTCCGCTTCTCGGGGCAACACCGCGGGTGGCTTCTCGCTCCGTCGCGCGCCCGGCCCACCGCGAGCCCCGGGGCCAGGCCCAGTAACCCACACGGCTGGCGGCTGCAGCTTGCAATTTGCTGCTGCCTGCAGGTAAGAGGGGCTGCCCCAACGCGTGCGGCCCAGGGCAGGCCAGGCCCGGCTCCCCGGGCGCCGGGCCGCAGGGATCTGCAACCTGCCGGCCAGGGCTCGGCGCCCATCCCTCCCTGCCCGGGCTCGCAGGCCCAGGCTCTGGCTCCGTGCGGTGCGGTGCGGTGCGCGGCCAGGCCCGGTCCTGCCCCAGCCCGAGCCGGCCCCAGACGGGCG